AGGAACTAGGAGAATGTTGGGGGCCAGGCTATTTTAAATAAATCCACTGAGAAATGCCACTCTGGGGAAATGACTCTGAACAACTGTGAACAAAGGGAGTGGGGCTTGCAAAATGAAAATCTATAGGAAGAAAATTCTAGACAAAGGGAATAACAAGTGCAAAGGGCCTGAGGCAGGAATTAATTTATGTACTTGTGGAAGAGCAAGAAGATAGATGTGGTTAGAGTGGAGGGAGAGGAGAGAGTGGTGGGAGACAAGATTGAAGAGTTAGTAGAGGCCATGTCAGGTAGAACCTTGCAATCTATGGGGGAAATGTTGGATTTCCTATTGGGAGAGATCAGAAGCCACTGAAGGAGCCAGGTGTGGTGGTGCAGGCCTGTAATCCTGTGACTCAGGAGGCTGAGGCAGGAGGATTCCAAGCTCAAGGGCAGCCTCAGCAATTAGTAAAGCCCTAAGCAATTTAAGCCTGTCTCAAAATGAAAAATGAAAAGGTCTGGGGATGTGACTCAGGGGTTGAAAGAAAGAAAAAAAAGAAGCTGAAATTGACACTAGAGCCACTCAAGCAAGTCAGCCATGATGGAAACGTCCACTTTGTGTGTGGGGGTGGTTTTGGGGATTGAGCCCAGGGCCTTGGGCATGCGAGGCAAGCACTCTACCAGCTGAGCTGTATCCCCACTTTTGCTGCTAGAGAAAATGAGGCCAGCAAGCTCAGAGGGTGATGGAGGACCACAGGGGAAGAAGGGAAGGAAGCAGGTCCCCAGGGTCCAGTCCTGTACCCACAGAGTCCAGACAACAAGATGGATGAGTGAACCGGGCACGGAATGTCGAAGACCACGTGACTCTTCCTGGCCACCTTGTTTTCCTACTTTTGCGAGACATGGAACTTATAAATACTTCTCTGTAGTATAGCAGACAGCAACTGATATTCAGTCGCAATGTCAGGAAGACCGCAGGGAGGAACAGGGACGATGGCCACCTGGAATGCAATTGTCCACCTAAAGGGACTAGCTAGATCGGCCCTACCTGCTACCACACCATACCAGATTATCCAATTTTCTTTTTCATTTATTTATTGTGCACTGCTGGGGACTGAGCCCGGGATCTTGCACATGCTAGACAAGCACTCAACCACTGAGCTTCATCCCAACCCTTTTTATTTTTTGAGACTAGTTCTCGCTAAGTTGCCCAGGCTGACCTAATACCATCCTCCTGCTTCAGGGTTCTGAAAAACTGGGATTACAGGTATGCACTTACGTCCCTAGGCTAAAGTGACTCCATTTAGAAATTCAGCACCTGCCCACCCAGGCATGACCTTCCCATTAGGCCTACCCCGAAGGAGTCCTTAACTACCAAAACCACAGATAAGACATCAAGTAACAATCACAGCACAGACGGGTTATTTTTTAACTACTCCACTGTATTTGACTACAGAATTAAAAAGTTTTTTTCTAGCAGGCTGCTGCGCCTTACAGAAGGGCAGCCTGGCAGATATTCTGTCAATAAACCTTTGCTTGAACTCAGAGCTGTCTCTCTTGTGGATATTTGTGCCAGTTACCCTAACATGCACCACTGGCTGAAATGTCACTTTTTTTTTTTTTTTGGTACTGGGGATTGAACCCAGGGGAGCTTAACTACTGAGCCACACCATGTCCCCAGCCCTCTTTATCTTTTTTATTTTAAGAAAGGATCTCACCAACTTCTTAGGGCCTTACATGTTGCTAAGGCTGAACTTGTGATCCTTCTGCCTTATCCTCCTGAGTCACTGGGATTATAGGCTATGTGCCACTGCACCTGGCTAAAATATCCTAATTTAATTACATTTTTAAATTTGCCTCTAGAGTAAAGGAACACAGTGAATTTGTATATATTGATCAGCTATTTCAGCATCCTTGCTATATCTTATCCTTTGTGATTCTTATATTTTTTTCTTCTCTTATTGCTTTGGCCAGGCCTCCAATGCTATGTTGGAATAATGATAGAAGGCATCCTTGGAGGCTGGGGCTGTAGCTCAGTGGTAGAGCGCTTGCCTAGCATGCACCAAATAAACAAATAAAGGTATTGTGTCCATCTACAACTAGAAAGAAATTACAAAAACAAAAACAAACCCATGGGGGGAAAAAGGCATCCTTGTCTTATTCCTGACACAGAAGAAATGTATCTTACATTTTGCCATTGCAGTATGTATTTTTTAAAAATGTTTTGTTTTAGTTGTAGTTGGACAGAATACCTTTATTTTATTTCTATGTGGTGCTGAGGATCGAACCCAGTGCCCTGCACGTGCTAGGTGAGTGCTCTACCACTGAGCCACAACCCCAGCCCTGTAGTATATTTTTAACTTCATAATTTTTATTAATTTATTTTCATAGTGCTGATGACTCAACACTGTGACTCAACACAGTATGCTAAGCAAGTGCTCTACTACTGACCTACACTCCCAATCCAAATTTCATTATTTTTAAGTGTAAGCTCACTTTTTTTCAAAGATCATAAATGCCAATTTGTCTGTTGGCTGGATTCAATCCATGAGTTGCCAATTTGTGGTCTCTGCTTTGTTTGGATTATTTCCCTGAGTTATAACATCTGAAGGATACGGAAAATCCCCAGAGGAAAAGGGGAATAACAACCTTCAGGGAAAAAAGAAGAACAGTGTGACATGGGAGGTGTGGGAGGGGGGAGGCAAACAGCAGGCCCTGGGCTCTGGAGTTTCACCCTTTCCCAGCCACAGTGGTTATGGAACTTTTGCAACTGTTTCCCTGACTTAGGCTTTGAACTTGTGCAACTGTTCCCCCTGACTGCCCAACCCACAAACTTTGCAAATGATTCAAATCTTATTTATTATGAAATAATAACTCAAACATTATAAAAATAAATATATAAACATTATAAAAATCCCAGACATTTTTCTCACCTGAGAATGTGCCATTCTTCTGCTTAATAAAGAAAGCTTGCTGATTCATTGAGGTCTGTTCCCCATTTGGGTTATTTTTGCTTTCAACATCAATCTCATTGGGAAGGTATGATTATTCTTTTTAGGGACATGAGGAGACTGAGACTCAGAAGTGAAATGACCTGCCACAGTCAAAAAGCTTGGAAGCAGCAGAATCAGCTCAACCTGATGCCACAGTCTGTGCTCTTTCTGAAGTGAGAGAGGGACCCTGGACCCCTTAGGCCACCTTCTCTTCACACTCTGCCTGGCTCAACTTCTTGGGGCCCTCCAAGGGGGCTCTGGAGTCCCTGTCATCAATTCTCTGTGACCCTACCCAAAGGCCTCCTCATCTCTGGGTCTCAGCTTCCCCATCTGTTAACCTAGGAAGGACTCAGTAGGGGAACCCCAATACTGTCCCAGCCCCGTCCCCCCATCCAATTCTTCATCTGTGAAATATCAGACCTGACCTTGTTATTTCCCTTATTCTGTGGCCTGCTTCTGCAGCTTACCTGCTGTGATACTTGGACTGCTTAACCTTGACGCACCTCTTACCTCATCTTGGCTGCAAAATGGGGTTAAAAGCAGTACCTACCTTGGTGTTATGGCTCAGTGGCAGAGCGCTTGCCTAGCATGTAGAGGCCCTGGGTTCCAGCCCCAGGACTAAGAAAAAAAAAAGTAATACACGCCTCGAAGTTCTTAGAATAATACCAGCCCTGCGATAAGTGTCTAGTAAGTGTTAGTTTTCATGATCACTAGTAAGTGTGTGTATGTGTACGCTGACAGGAAAAAGTTGTACTAGAATAGAGAAATGGTTCTATTAATGTCATTGCTCCAAATTAAAACCCTGTTTGCTGCGACCCATGACTCCTGCATTATAGAGAGTGAAGTCCAAATTTCTTAACCCACATCCAAGGCTCTCCTTCGCCATCTACCCATGTTTCAAAGAGCAAAGCAGCCAGGAGCCCGGTGTGGAGGCAGGTCTCCTGGTTCTAACCCCAGCTCTGCAGCTCACTATCTACGTGAGCTTGGGTGAGGAACTTTGTCTCTCTGGGCCTCCGTTTCTCAACTGTAAAATGTGGAAAGTAACAGCACTCACCTGATAGGCTGAGGCAATGTGAAGTAAAAATAGCTTAGCCAGCAGGGAGAAATTAGTGGCTGGGGATATAGCTCAGTTGATAGAGAGCTTGCCTTGCATGCACAGGGCCTGAGGTTCAATCCCCAGCACCACCAAATAAATAAATAAAATAATAATAACTAAAAAAATACATACATATATAATTATCCCTGCCCCCATCCAAGTCTCTGGTCAGCCCCAGCCCTCAAGGTCTTGGCTCGCACCTTGCTCTTCCCCATCTGTCCATCCAGCAGAGCATCCTCTGCAAAGGGCCCAGCTCAGATATCGCTGCCTCTGAAACTTACTGGTCCCTCCTCTGGCCTCTTGCAGGCTGAAATGCTCACAGCCCTCACCATCAGCTTTGTCCCCGCTGACACACCGCGCCCTTCCTGCCTAAGGATGCCAAAAGTGGGGCCTGGCTCTGAGCTGCAGCCCTGGATGCCAACACTGAGGCCTGAGGGACGCGCTGGTCTCTGAGGAAACTCAGTGTCTGCCCTGGCCGCCCTCCAAACTCAGCTTCCTCGCCTGTAACAAAGGCAAAGTGGCCCAGGGGCCCTGAAGATACATGGGAAACCTGGTCAAGGCCCCTTTCCTCCCTCCTGTCTCGCACCTGTACTAGCTGGGGAGGGAAGAAGAGGGGACAGGAGAGGCTGGCGTTGCTGGCTATGCAGGGGTCCGCTCAGGATGGGCTCCTGGCTCTGGGCAGAATTCCTGGTTCTGAAAGGCTGGGGCGAGGCCCGGGATCCTGAATTTTTCTCAAGCAGGCATAAGCCTTCCCCGGAGTGTGTGCCCAGCTCAGGCTCTGTAACAACCATCCCAGGAGCACACACACTCCTCCCTCATAACCTCACAGTGGCTGCAATGTGCCAGCTTCCCAGCCCCAAGGCTTTGGAGGAGAAGACTGTCACCTAGGGGCTAAGAAAGGAACTGCCAGGCTCGGGTCTGAGCCATTTGGACACATATGATAGAAACATTTATTGAGTACTTTCCCAGTGAGGGCACCATACCAGACGATCTGCACATTTCACCATACTGAACCCCCAAACCAACCCCAGGAGGTAGGACCATCACAAGCCCACTGTATGGATGAGGAACAGGGGAGCTCAGAGAAGTGAAGTGACTTTACTGAGGTCACAAAGTAAGTGCTTGGCAGCTCTTGGATTTGAAGCCAGATCTGGCTCACAGCTGCCATCTACCTGCCATACTGAAGTGCCTCCTAAATGCCTACCTCACAGTTTTCTGGGGACACTGTGAGGAACCCTAAGGGAAAAGGTCCACTAGGTAAGGACTCTGACCATGTCCAGTCTCCTGAAGAGAAGCTTGATTAGAGGCCATCCCAGGCGGCTGGAGAAGGGTGGCTGGGGCCACCCTGTCTGCCTTGGAGGTGGTCTCACCACCAGCCTAGCTTAGCCAGGCCCGGGCTTCTCGGGCTCCGGCCTTCTCTCTTGCCATTTGCTCTGTCCTGGGGATGAATCCCAGGATGCTGCAGGGCCCTCCAGCAGACTGGGGGCATAGAAGGGCAGCCAGGGGCCCGAGCTTACATTCCAAAAGGGCTTCTGCCACGGCTCACTTCCCCTGGAAGGATCTCTGGTCCGCCTGGGCCGCGGGGCCCACAGGCATCAGGTTGGCCTGTGGGAGCAGGAGCTCCACCTCACTCCGAGGCCTGGATGTAGACAGGTACCGCGAGCATGGCACACGAGCCCTCGGCCCCCGCCTGCAGCTCTGCCAGTGCCAAGTTGGAGCCCAGCCCCTCAGCATGGCCTGGCACTACCAGCTCAGGGTCCCCGCCCACAGCGCCACCCACTACGATGGACAGCACAGCATCCTGCTCCGAGAAGGGTGGCTTGCCGGGGGCAGCCTCGGGCACTGGCCCGGCCCCTGCATCCTTCAGTTCCTCTAGTCCCAGTGGGTCCTGCAAGGGGGCCACCACCTTGTGCCCGCCACCGCTGCTGCTGCCGCTGCTGCTGCGGGGAGCTGCCCTCCTCCGGGGTGGCCGCCGGGTTTGCAGGTCCTTGTCCTTTGGGGGGCCAAGGCGGCAGCGGTGATCCTTGAGGTACTTGTGGCGGGAAAAGCCCTTGGCACAGCCGGTGCAGCGGAACTTGTAGTTGCCTGTGTGAGCACGCTGGTGCTCGGCGAGGTGGGCACGACGGCTGAAGGACTTGCTGCACAGGCCGCATTTGTGCAGCTTCATGCCTGAGGGGGTAGAGGCAAGTCAGTTTGAGGAAGCAGACCCTCACCCTGCAGGGGTGCTTCGCCCAGGGAATGACACTCAGTGTCCTGCCTACTGGCCCTGGCTTCCTCCACTCTCCTCTCCCACCTCCTCCCAGCTAGTCACTCTTGCCAGCCATATACTTCCTTAATGCAGTAAGCTGGCTGCTGCCCCTGGGCCTTTGCACTTGCCATTTCCTCCGCATGGACCAGTCCACTTAATCCTTAAATCTTGGTAAACTTTGCAGGTCACCATGATCTCTCACCTGGATGACAGAGGCAGCTACCTCCTCTGGTCTGCCTACCTCACTACAGGGAGCTAGAAATGTCTTTGCAAAACACAAACGAGCAAGGTGTTCCCTGTTCCAAACCTCCCACTGATTCCCTATGTTCCCTAAAAAGCACGCTGCTGTCTGGCAGCCCCCTCACCTCTCGGCCCCATCTCCTGTCTCCAACCAGGCCCTGTGCACGGCCTCCCACCCCCCCTTCTCCCTCACCGTGAGGTCAGCTCTGTTGCCCCCTCTCCCAAAGAGCCATTTCCTGGCTCTTCTCATCCTTCGGGACTCGGCTCCCAGGGGCCTCCCTCATCCCCACACCCTTCACTCTCCGCCCTGTTTCCCTCCTCCCTGCACCCAGTGTGCTTGCTGCTTTATTTGCTCACTGTATACTTTTGGTCTCCCCACTAACTGGGAAGTTTCCCAAGAGGGCTGGGTGGGTTCTGCCTGGCTGATGCCCTATGCCACCCACGCCTGAGCCAGGGTCAGGCCTCGAGTCACTCCTGAATGAATCCCTGGTGTCCACATCACCCTCAAGTCAACCCAGCTCCTGCTCACCCTGGTCCATGCACACGCCCTTGGTCGCCGCAGCCTTCTTGGGATGGAGGCTCAGAGAGGCAGTGACTTGCCTGAAGCCACCCAGCAGCAAAGTGACAGCCCTGATTCAAACCCAGATCCTGCCTCAACTCCTTCAACTACTCTCAGTTTTCAGGGTTTCTTTAGCCACTGGGTCCTGTCTGTGGCCAGTAGTTCTCACCCAGGGGTGACTTCATCCCATCCCCAGGAGACTCTTGGCCATGCCTAGAGACACAGCTGATAGTCACACTACTGGGGGAAAGCCACTGACACCAAGTGGACAGACACCTATCAGGGCACAAGACAACCTCCCACGACAAAGAATTACCCAGCCCACGGTGTCAAGGCTGCCAGGATGAAACATCCTCTTCGAGACTAAGCAGTGGGTGGAACCCCACAGAGCTGCTCTAGGGAGCCCCTGGGAAACGAGGAGTGGTTTGAAGACCCTGCCCAGCCAAGGAGCCTCCCAGCCACATCCTGGACCACACCTGATCCACACTCCTCACACCGGGCACCACTCCAATTCAAATGTCCCTTCTCAGGCTGGCCTTCCCCTCAGACTGGGGGGCTGTGAGATTCGTCTGTACCCCTCAGATTCCGAGCACAGACTGGCTTCCAGCCCACGAGGGCAAGTCCGTTGGCTGGACTCCACCAGGCAGGGACAGTTGGCCTCGCGGGTGTGTCTGCTTTTCCTCCTCCTGCCGTCGTCACCCAGGGCTTGGGCTGAACCGCCCGCCTGGCAGGCCGTGGGTCCCTTACCTGAGTGGGACAGGATGTGAGCCTTCAGCTTGTCTGGCCGGTTGAACTCTTTACTGCAGCCCGTGTGCGTCCTGGAACCCACAGGCATGAGTCAGGGGAGCGCAGCAAGCTTGGAGCCCTCTTGCTGGCCCCCCAGTGGCCCTGGACAGGACGGAGGGACACCCTTTCGCCCTAAGGGCTGGGAAAGGAAGCAGAGTAGGCCTGGCATCTTTGGGTCCAGCCCTCCCTGGGGGGACTCCACACTCCGCCACCACCTGCCGCAGCTCTACTCACGAGAAGGGGCATTTGTATTTCTTGAAGGGCTCGTGGATCAGCATGTGCCTCTTCAGCTTGTCCTTGCGGTTGAAGGCGGACTCGCACACGGGGCATTTGTAGGGCTTCTCACCTGCAGGAGACACCCCGCCAGAGTGAGGGTCCCAGGGCTCCCCACTGAGCCTCTCAGGGCGGCAGCTCCGCCACGGAGGTGGGCTGGGAAAAACGACTTCTCATTTCTCGATTTTGTTTTGCCAGGGAGAAGAGAGGACTCTTTTATTTTTTTTTTTAAAGATGGGGTCTCGCTGCATTGCCCAGATGCCTCTGAACTCCTGGGCTCAAGGGCTCCTCCGAGGGACTATTTTAGACAGGCTGGTGGGAGACGCGCCTCCGGTACAGCAACTCATGAAGAGAGACCCCGGACACGGAGCTGCCAAGGAAACGCAGGCAAGGGTCCAGGCAAGAGGGAAAGCAGAAGCATGCTGGGGTTCCTGAGGAGCCCCGGGAGGCCCGCATGGGGAGGAAGGGGCATGGGTGAGGTCACCAGGCAGCTGGCCTCATGGGAGGATCTGGGCGGCTGAGGTCGGACCGTGGCTTGCATTCTGAGCTGGATGAGAAGCCAGCAGAGGGTCAGAGCAGAGGAGGGACAGGCCCCTCTGGCTGCGTGTGGAGAGCAGACTCGGGGGAGTCAGGCTGCAGGCTGGGTGGAGGCTGGGCAACAGGGAAGCGGCAGAGGACAGGCCAGGTCAGGGAAGTGGGGTCAGCAGCCCTCACCAGGGGATTGGCCATGCATGAGAGGAAGAGAACGTCCAGCATGAATCTAAGGTGTGCCTGAGTCACGGTGGATGGTCACAGCGTCAAAGCCATCGGGTCCACAATGGAGAGGGAGACTCACACTTTATCCAATCAAATCCCTGGGGTAAGGACTACTATTGTCCCCGTGTTACAGCTGGGAAAGAGAAGGTCAGGGTGACCAGCCCGCAGTCCACACTCTGGCTGGGCAGCTAGGATTCCAGCCCAGCGGTGCGATCCAGAGCCCACCTGAGCTGCCCCAGGTCTTCCTGCTGCTAAGCTGAGCCTATCTGGCAGTGGAGGGGTGTGTCTCACCTGATGGCTGCAGAGCCCTCAGGACACCAAGGGAGGTGCCTACAAAGCTCATGTGCGGTCACAAGCTGCTCTTTGGAAAGGGCTATTCCGGGGCTGATTTGATTTTCTACCCTTGTGTCCTCTCTGTCCTCCCGCAGAAGGAACAGTGCTTTGGAAAAACTTCAATGCAAGTGCTTACGGGAATTCTGGTGCTTACTATGGAATGGTCTGCAGCCAGCAGGGTGTGCAGTGGCGCACACATGCCTGTGATCCCAGCGCTCAGGAGGCTGAGGCAGAGGGATTGTGAGATCAAAGCCAGCCCAGGAAAAGCGAGGCCCTAAGAAACTCAGTGAGACCCTGTCTCTAAATAAAATACAAAATAGGGCTGGGGATGGGGCTCAGTGGTTAAGTGCCCCTGAGCTCAATCCCCAGTACCAAAAAATAAAAAATAAAAAAAGACTAAGGTCAATCTGTGTTCTGTTCTCTCATCTGGAAAGATCCCTTAGCCAAAGTGGCAGAGGAAAACTATAAGGTAGTTTAACAAAGTCACTTTCTTGTTAGGAAAAAGTATAATCCTTATGCCTCATAAAACCCCAGGGGAAGCTGGGTACAGTGGTGCACACCTGTAATCCAGCTAACACGGAGGCTGAGGCCAGCTTGGGCAATTTAGTGAAATTCTGCCGCGACAGGTGACTAAATCAGTCAGGGTCACTCCAGGTGAACTGGGTTGGCACTGAATAATCACACAGAGACAGAGAAAATACCTTTTTCTTGGGGTTCAGTGAGGGCTCCTTGGCCCCAGCTCCCACAAGGGAAGCAAGAGAGGCAGACAGAAGAGCGCCTGCCGGTGGCCTTGTTTACTGAGGGGAAGAAAGCTCCACCCACATGAGGCCAGGGATTGGGTTTCAGTCTCACTGGGTGACGCCCACTCCCAGAGCTTCATTCCTCTGCCAATTTTGAGATCCACCTGTTTCTGTGTGCAGGGGAAACCAGTGGATGTGTGCGCTCAAGGCTAAGGGTGCTCAGCTCCTGTGTGGCAGCTCCTGACAAAATTTTGTCTCAAAATAAAAAATAAAAAAGGCTGGGAATGTGGCTCAGTGTTAAGTACCCCTGGGTCCAATCCTGAGGATGAAACAACAACAACAACAAAAATTACAAAGCTTAAGACTTTCCTTTTTTATTAAAGGTAAAATATATATAACATAAAATTTACCATCTTAGCCATCTTTCAGTATTCATGTCGTTCAGTGGCATTAAGCACATGTGCACTGTCGTGCAGCCATCAAGACCATCCATCTCCATAACTTTTTCCATCATCCCAAGAAGAAACTCAGTACTGCACTTACATTTTATTTTTATTTTTTTATTTTTATTGATACTGGGGATTGAACCCAGGGCATTTTACCATGGAGCTACATCCCCAGCCGTTTTTTTACTTTTACTTTTTTTAATTTTTGAGACAGGATCTTGCTAAGTTGTTGAGGCTGGCCTCCAACATATGATCTTCCTGCCTAAGTGGGGAGTCCCTGGGATTACAGGCATGTGTGACCACACCCAGCCTGCACATACATTTTAATCTAGCACTTTCTTTTTTTTAATATTTATTTTTTAGCTGTAGTTGGACACAATACCTTTATTTTATTTATTTATACGTGGTGCTGAGGATCGAACCCAGGGTCTCGCACATGCTAGGTGAGCACTCTACCGCTGAGCCACAACCCCAGCCCTTAATTTAGCACTTTCACTGCTGGGAATATATGCTACCGATCTATACCCGAAGTTTGCCAAAGGACCCACATAGCATTGTGTGAACCTTACAAACTAACAGCTGAAAAAAAACTGAAGGGCCTGCCCATTGTTCAGCTCGACAAAGGAATACTATACAACTATGAAGACAGAGTTGCTATTCAAGAACATCTTCAGCTATACTGACAAGGAATTCTGACACAGAATTCCAAATTATATTCTATGTTTACCTACATAAAAGTAAGCAAGTATGTTGTACAGATATAAAATAAAACCAGGGCAGCCCCTACTAGGTCCTCTCTCACCCTGTGAGAACTCTGGCTCTTTTCTTCTCACTTGAATAAATCCTATTATTTTATACTGGAATGAATGAGTGAATAGATAAATAAATAAATAAATAAATAAATAAAATAAAACAAAACTAGATTGACCCAAACTAGACAGTAATAGCAGTTACTTTCAGGGAGGGGATTAGGAGTATCTTACAAACTCCCAAGTAGCTGGGACTACAGGTACATGCTGCCATGCCCAGTTAGTAGTTATTTTAAAAAATGAACACAATTGAAAATATTGCTTTGTGAAACTTTGGTTTCAACATATCCTATGTGCATGTACATATTTCCTGGGTTGTGATATAAAATATGCTTTACTAAAAAGAATTTGAAAACTGGATTGTCCATGTAATAGAGCACTAGCCTAGCAAGCGCAAGGCCCTGGGGACCGTGGGGGGAAAATAACATTTAAAGATTAAAAAAAAAAAAAAATCAATGTCTCAACTGAGGAGAGAGGGTTTCGCCCAGATTTGGTGGGAATTTTGCTCTAGACTCCCGGAGCAGTCTCGGGGCAGAGCCAAGGTCCCCGCCCCAACACCAGCCTCTAGCAGCTTCTCCCTGCTCTAGTGCTGGTGGGGACCCAGGGTTCATGAGGGAGAGCTGGTGGGCGTAGGGCGGGAGGAGGGGCGGGGCCTGGGCAGGAGTGGGCGGGGCGAGGTACCCACCTGAGTGGATGTGAGCGTGCAGCTTGAGGTAGTGCTCCCTCCGGAAGAACTTCTTGCACACCTGGCACTTGAACCTGCCTCCGCTGCCATGCGTGGGCAGGTGACGCCGCAGATAGCGTTCACAAGGGAACACCTGGAGGCAGAGCGCTCGGCTTCAGTGCTGCCTCCCCAGGCCCCCTCCCGCGCACCTTCAGAGCTCACGAGCCCCTCGTGTCCACCCCCAATGGAGATACCCTTCCTTCTGCTCACCTGAGACCAGGCCCGCAGCGGCAGACCCAGCCCTCAGCACCTTGTGGCTTCTCTACTCACCCAGGAGACAAGCCCAAAATGCACCTTCTCTGAGTTTCTGCCCAGGCTGTTCTTCCTACCCACAGGGCCTTTCTCTATTAGTCTCACAAACTCCTACTCATCCTTCAAGACCCAACTCAGATGCCAGTGCCGCTGTAAAGTCTTCCCTGAATTCCTGGTGCCTAGCTAGACAAAGAAGATCCTGCCTCCCAGTGATCACTCACGTTTTAAAATCAGCATTTAACCCACTGGACTAGGATCCCTGGCTTACATGGGGACTCTAGGAGGGCAGAGGGACTTTCATTCCTCAGCAAAGAGCCCGGGTCAAACGACTGTCGGGTAAAGGAATGAACAGAAAGGTAATAAAGACCCAGAAAACACAGGAACCCAGACCTTTCCCTGTAGACAGAGGAAAGGCTTCACTCATTCACTCACTGGGTTAAGAGAAGCCGTCAAGGGCACAGACACAGCGCCCCACCCTCATGAGCCCCATCACTTCCTAGCTAGGTGGCCTTTCCGGGTCTTGTTTCCCCCTGTAAAATGGGGACAGAAAGAGTATATCTGCCCTCCAGGGCTAAGTGGGTCAATTCAGATAGAATAATGGCACCTGGCAGGTGCTTTTTTCTCGACTCATGATACTTTTTGCTTAGACCACAAATTCTGAAGTTAGGTATGTAATTAGAAACATCTAGAACAAGGCTAAAGTGGAGAGAAAAAAAAAAAAAGGCTGTCCTGGAAAATCTGCATGTAAGGTTGTCTCTCATGAGTAGAACCTGGTGACGGCAACCCAGGGGAGCAATCAGCAAACCCAGATGGCAGGAAGCCCCACAGGGCCAACGGCCCAGTTCCTTGGAGAGATAAATTAAAAGGGGGAATAAAAAAGGAGGCGCTGGGGCAGGGGCGCGGGTTAACAGAAGCTTCTGTTGTGTGGATAACTGCAATATAGGGACTGATTCAAATCAACCATGACACTTGAGCCGGGGACAATGGAAACACTTCCTGGATGTCTGATGGCATAGGAGCAGGTTTTAGGAAGGACTTCCAGAGTCACCAACAAGAAGGTCCAATGATGACGACAGGATGGTACATTGGGAAGCTGGAGGCCACACTCAGATGCCTGTCGGCCCCCTGCACCCACTGGCACTTCCCGAGGTGGAGGAGAGACAGAAAGGGCAAGGCGTTTACCCGCCACCTCCCTTGTCACCACCCGTAGGGCCAGCACCCACCTTCTGGCAGTGCGGGCAGGGGAAGTTGTGAGTGGCGGTCTGCAGGTGGTGCTCCAGGGCCTCGGGAGTGGAGTACTTGTTGACACATTTGACACACCTGAGTGGGGAGGAGCCGCAGAGGTGAGAGCAGCTGGGCAGGCGCAGGTCTGTCCCCGTTGCCCCAGGCCATCATCCCTCCTGCCCCAGGCCATCGTTAGGAGGCAAGGGCCTGAGTTTCCCTGGTTCTCAATCCACTCCTCTCTCCTGCCACTGCCTCCATCCTCCACCCAGCTGCTGCCACCACCTGCTGGGACATGCACAGTAGCCTCTGGTTCAAGTTCCTGTCCCCAACCTGTCCCTGAACATCCATTCAGAGAGCAGCCAGAGGGAGCCTTTAAAAATAAAAATCAAGGGCTGGAGTGGCAGAGCGCTCGCCTAGCATGTGTGAGGCATTGGGCTCGATCCTCAGCACCACATACAAATAAATAAATTAAATAAGGGCATTATGTCCATCTACAACTAAAACAAATATTAAAAATAAAAAAACAAAAACAACAAAAATCAAGCCAGCCATGGTGAAGAACACCTATAATTCCAGCTACTTGGGAGGCTGAGGCAAGTTTAAGGCCAGCCTCGACAACTTAGTGAGACCCTGTCTTAAAATAAAAAATAAAAAGGGCTGGGGTATAGTTCAGTGGTAGAGCACACTTGTATTCGGTCCCTAGCATGACAAAGGAAATCAATCAGTCAATCAGTCAGGGCTCTGTGTAGCTCGGTGGTGGAGCGCTTGCCTAGCATGCACAAGGCCCTGGGTTCCATCCCCAGCACTGCACACACATACACAAATCAACAAATAACTAAAAAATGAAAGTGAGAGTGTCCCCCAGTTGCTTGCACTTTGTTGCACACCACGGCCTATGAGGCCCTACGGTCTGACCCACTCCTACCCCTCAGACTTCTTCCCCTACTCCCTACCCAAACCGCTCTGTCCCAGCACCCTGGCCTCCTTGATGAACCTTGCACACAGCAAGATCATTCCTGCCTCAGGACCTTTACACTTGCTGTTCCAGTTCAAATGTCACCTCCTTGGAGAAGCACTCCTTGACCATTCTGTCTCAAGTTGCCCCCCACAGTCTACCCCAGGCACCCCCTGTTATGTCACCCAGCTTATTTTCTCCTTAGCACTAATTACTAGGAATTATTTTATTTGCTTGCTTGGTTATGAACAGTCTCCTCCCCTACACATGGTCCCTAACAATGGAACTACACCTTTCCTATTCACAGCTTGCTCAGGGTACCAGCGAGAATCTGTCATATGCAAGAGCCACACAAAGGGACGCAGGTCCAGCTCCTTCCTGCCTGATGCTCTAGGTTTCCTCACTTGTGACATGGCCCTGCCTGATGGTCATTCTAAGATTGCCACAGAGTCGAAGGACACAACTGTGCTGAGTGGCTCATAACTGAAAAGTGTGGTATACACAGCTCCTGTGGCTGACATGCCCCTGGAACAGCATGTTCAGGGACTGTGGTATAGCCTATGTTTAGCCTGTGCTTAGCATGTGCAAGGCCTGGGTTCAATCCCCAGCACCACAAGGAGAAAAACGGAACAGCACTTGTAGGTCCTGAGCCACTCTGAAGGAATAAGACCACCATCTCCCACCACAAAGACATTCACCAGCCAATGGACCCTTATATAATGAGATACCTGTGGGGCATGTCACAGGTGAGCAGGCAAATCATGCCAAAACAGAAACACATGAGCCCTGTGGTCCTTACACTAGTGCCACCCACGGGAAGCCCCAGGAAGATGGCACCCATGGTGGATCTAGGGGACCCCTCAGACCACACTCTGAAAACCACACACAAAGTTCTCCAGACAGCAAGAGAGGGAGGGGGGTAGACTGGAGGGAGATACCAGGGGAGCAGAGACCCAACAAGCTGGTGAGGGGACAGGACTAAACCTCAAGTCTGGGGCCGGGGGAGATCAGCAAAAGCCATGAAAATCAAAACTCCCTGCCAGAAATACCTCCTTCACTAAGTCATCCAAGGCAGCACAACAAGTTATGGGACACATGATCATTACGTGCCTCCTGAGATGGTGCCCGGAGAGGGACAGTGTCACTAGTGATGTTCCTGCCAAAAGGACACATCCTGGATATAATAGCCAGGTAAAATCAGGCAGACCCAAACAAAGGCATTCTACAAAACAACTCAACGACACTCTAAAAATATCAAGGTCAGGCTGGGCACGGTGGTGCACGCCTGTAATCCCAGTGGCTCTGGAGGCTGAGGCAGGAGGATCATGAGTTCAAAGCCAGCCTCAGCAAAAGCGAGGAGCTAATCAACTCAGTGAGACTCTGCCTCTAAATAAATACAAAATAGGTCTGTGGATGTGGCTCAGTGGTCGAGTGTCCTTGAGTTCAATCCCTGGTACCCCCCCCCACCAAAAAAAAAACCTAGGTCAGAGCCAGGTGTGGTGACACACACCTGTAATCCCCAAAACTTGGAAGGCTGAGGAATGAGGATCAAAAGTTCAAGGCCAGACTGGGCAACTTATCGAGGTCTCATCTCTAGATCAACAACAGGAAGGGCCGGGGATGTGGCTCGGTGGTTAAGCACCCCTCGGCTCAATCCCTGTTCTCTCTCTCTCTCTCTCTCTCTCTCTCTCTCTCTCTCTCTCTCAAACACACACATACACACACACACACACTCAAGGTCAGGCTGGAAATGTTGCTTAGCACAAGAGCACTTGCCCACGTGCCCAAGGCCCTAGGTTCACTTCTAGTTCTTCAAGGTCATGAAAAGCAAAGAGAGCATGAAACTGTTCCAGCTTCAAGGAGGTGAAAGAGGCATGACAATGAAGGTGAGGTGTGATCCCAGGCTGGACCCTGGGCCAGAAAAAAATGTGTGTGCTTTTCTTTTTTTTTTTATTTTATAAAGGATATTAATAGAACAATTTGGAAGTTTTAAATAAGGCCTGAAGATGAGCTAATAGAATTATACTGATTTTTTTTTTTTTTTGGTACCAGGGATTGAACTCAGGCGCACTCGAAAACTGAGCCACACCCCCAGCCATATTTTGTATTTTATTTAAAGACAGGGTCTCACTGACTTGCTTTGCGCCTCACCATTGCTAAGACTGGCTTTGAACTCTCAGCCCTCCTATCTCAGCCTCCTGAGCTGCTGGGATTACATTCACCCTATGCTTCCCTTGTTTGGGGCAAATGTACACAGAAGATAAAAAGGAAAGAACATCACATCTTCAAATGACTCTGAAATGCTTCCAAATATGATAAAACAAATGGGATATGACGTGTGCAATTGGGAAATTGGGTGAAGGTAGATATGGGAATCTCTGTACTAGTCTTATAACTCTTTGGGAAGTTGGAAATTATGCCAAAATAAAAAGTTTTAAAAGAGCTTATTTCTTCACAGTAGGGCCTCATGCATACAAAGCTATTTTTTTTTTTAATTTTCTACCTGTGATATTGTTACTGGAGTAATGTTTACTTTGTGTATATGTGGTACTAGGGCTTGTAGCCAGATGCCACATCCCCAGTCCTTTTTTCTTTATTTATTTTGAGACAGGGTCTCACTAAGTGGCTGAGGCTGGACTTGAACTTGCCATTCTCCTGCCTCAGGCTCCCAAGTCACTGAGATTACAGGCGTGTACTACTACACCTGGCAGTTTTTATTTTTGAAGTTAAATTTGGAACATGTGGGTCAATGGGATAACTATAATCAAGTGGTTCTGTTTTCAACAAGGACTACATAGGTTAAAGCATTGGCAAAAATCAAAGGATAGTTCTATACCTCTCCTACGTGGAGGCGACAGTGCCAGTGACTCGGTAATAAACAGTAATAAAACACTTATTCAGTTGAAGCTAACAGACCCAAACCAGATTTTAAATGGTTGGCATTTTTCTCATCTATATGGTACTGAAAACAAAATTCTAAAAGTTTCATTGACCATTTTATATGTTTAAAGTTCAATTTATGTTTAAGGTCCAGATACATGCACATGATTTAAAAGAGTATTTATTGGTTATCTTGCGTGTATTAAACCTATAAATCTTTAACTCTACAAAGTTTTTTTTTTTTTTTTCTCTTGTGGTGCTAGGGATTGAACCCAGGGCTTCATGCATGCTACGCAAGTATTCTACACTAAGCTGTACCCCACTCCACAAACTTCTGCATGATATTTTTAGAAAGCTCAAACATGTCATATTTAATCCTGAGATAAATATGCATCTTCAGTCACAGATACACAGGGTGCCAAATACACCTCAGAAACCCAAAATAATATTTGTTATTTAACTAGATTTATAAAGTGGTCATTTAAAAAACAAAGAGACAGGGACTCAGTAGAGCACTTGCCTCACACATATAAGGCCCTGGGTTCAATTCTCAGCACCACATATAAATAAATAAAAAATAAAAAGGGCTGGGGGCGCAGCTGAATGATAGGACACCCCTGGGTTCAATTGCCAGTATCTCAAAAAAAAAAAAAATCTTTTAAATTGTAGCCAACTTAATCACACATAAATGTTCTAATATTTGTCCTCCACAGCCTTCTGCAACCTGCTTAGACATTCTACAACTTGTTTTCATCCTTAGTTTTCTGTCCCATTTTTCTTTTTCCCATCCTGGAACAATCAAGTTACTTTATTTTAGGACAAAAATCTTACTTTACCATTCGAAATCTTTTCTCAACCAAAAACATTCTCCAAAATATGTCCTCATACTCATAACCTTCTTAGGTCTTTCTCCTACTTGCTAATTCTTTTCTGCCCTTTTTTTCTAAGTTTGCATTTTAAAACAATTTTACAGGGGCTGGAGTTATAGCTCAGTGGTAGAGCGCCTGCCTCGCACTTGTGAGGTACTGGGTTCTATCCTCAGCCCCACATAAAAAAAAATAAATAAATAAATAAAATAAAGATATTGTGTCCATCTTTAAAAGCAAAACAAAACAATCTTACAAAATTTCTGAATTTAAAAAAAATCACTCCTTTTTCTCAAAAAGATGAAATACTAGCTGGGCGTGGTGGTGCACGCCTTAATCCCAGCAACCTGGGAAGCTGGTGCAGGAGGATAGCAAGTTTGAGGCCAGCCTGGGCA